TATCACATCCATTCGCTGCTTCATGCATTGCATTTGTTCTTAAAGTTGTGTAAGTTGTCACTTGTGTTACAGCGTAAGGACTGTAACAGCCACTATGTAGGACAGACAGGCAGAAGACTGGCAGAGCACATCCATGAACAACCAGCAGTCAGAAGACATGATGGAAACTCCTTAATCTCACAACACATGGACAGACTCAACCGTAGTTTCAACTGGGAAACTGTCAGCATCTTAGACCAAGCTAAATCCAAAAATGCGAGGGAATTCCTGGAAGCCTGGCATTCAGACAAGGCAGCCATCGACAGGCACATAGAGATAAACAACATGGACAGACTATTCAAAAGAGACAATAGAAAAGAAAACAAAGGACCAGAACATCTCCTCACCAGCAACCATCACCCAGATAAGCAGAGATTAACACCAAGATTATCACCAGACATACAATCAGCAGTTTGTACTTAAAAGTTGGGATCCCATTTTTAATTTCATCTGGAATCTTTCACAGCAGCTAACCATGAATGTTACACATCTATTCAAATTTAGACAGAACAACTGAAATGCTCATTTTGGCAGTAACTGATTGCTTTTAGTGTTAATATGGTGCTTTTCAAAAAGAAGAAATCCACTCTTTGAGTTTCATAGAAGCCCACAGATCAGAATGTTACCCACCAGGTGAACTAGCCTACAGCAAGTGTGTTAAGTATCATTATAAATTACTACAGGTAGAAGATGCTTTTTATTCAATGTGGAACCCATCTGAATCTTCCGCACATCTTAGTCCTGTGAAATGTAGACCTTCATATATGTATATGTAATTGCAGTCAATAGGGCCATTACAGAAGAAAATAATTAATGCAGGTTTGTTGTGTTCCCAATGGAGAGTGAGGATAGCAGAAATTACTCTCTCTGCTCAGCAAATGGCTGAAAAGCAGGAGTGATGGCTTCTGGACTGTGTTCTGCCATCTTCTTCTTCCTCACCCTCCACTTTGTTCCTTTCAACAGCCAACTGGAGCCCCCCTGCCCAAGACGGCGCTGACCAGCCACGGAGGTCTGTGTTCGAGTTCAGCGCTCCCAGGAGACACTTTTAACTCCAGCGTCGAAGCCACTTCCTCTGTTTCCTCCGACTCGGGCGAGGGAGTTGTGGTAGGTTAACCCAGTGCAGTGCAAGCAGAGGGCTGTATGAATGCTCTCTGCCCCTAAACCATTTCTCACCTGTTGGACCAGCAGAGAAATGCCTTTCCAAGGAGACTTGGGGGGCTGCACTGGGTCTTGTCTAGGCCAGTAGAGGGGCCTTCAAAATGGCCACAGATGGAAGGATGTAGCATGACATCATCTCATTTTGGGACAAACGCTTGATCCAGGAAGGGAATGGTCTCTGGGCGTGAAAAGGCGCTGTATGTGTGTCTATGAGTGTGCATGTTTGTGTGTGCGAGGGGATGCCCATCACACATGGCTGGCTTGGCATCAGATGTGTTGTGTTTGCTCAACACATTAAATCTTAATCTAGTCAGTGGTTGAATTCACACAACAAGCCTATCTTGCACTTATCTTGCGCTAAATAAACCCAGTTGCAAAGTAAGATGACAGTGTTCGCATGGTTATTGTGTTCTGCTAACCCAGGCTTAGGGGCAGGGGTGTGCTCAGGAGGGGGGAGCCAAAAAGGCCAAGATGGCAGCCATGATCATGTGGTTGAAGCCCCACAATTTTTTTGCATGTGTCATACGTGTAACACATGTAAAAAAGGGGAGGGCTTCAGCATAGTCACAGCCATCATCTCAACTTTTCTGACCCCTCTTAGACACCCCTCCTTAGCAGTAAGTCTATTGTGAGAATGTAGCCAATTTTTGTTTTCACATAACCTGCTGTACATAAAGAGACCAACCAGATCATGGCTTAAGGAGATATCCTTGTTTATACCACTTGCTAGCCATTTTCTGGGTTCACACAACACACAGAACCAGGAACTAAACTATCAGGGTTCTCCTGGACCATAAACCAGGATAAAACTAAGGAAGCTGAACAAAATGTGGCAGTGCAGCGGCTAAATCTGCTGGTTCACCATATTGGTATGAACACAGCGCTGGGGATGACTAACCCTTCCCCGTTCTCCATTCGCACAGTCTGGCGGTGCAGCTAAGGGCCCCAAAGGAGCCGCCGCAGCTGGCGTGAGCACCGGGGACCCCACCTCAGCGCCTGGCCAGGGCACTGTCCTTCATTTCCTCACCCGCCTGCGCCGCCATGCTAGCCTGGAAGGAGCGAGTCCCTATTTCAGAATCAAGAAGTGGAAACTGGAGACCAGCCAGCGGGCGTCCAGTCTGGACACAAGAGGTGGGTGACTCTGTGGGGTGGGGGCATGCTGGAATCTCTGAGTCAGTGTTTCTCAACCTTGGGAACATGGTTGTACAAGAGCTGGGATGCAGATCACTCTGGCACAAGTTGGCGGGGGGGAGGCTTGTGCCTTGCTGGCAGAAGGTTTAGCACAGTGTTTCTCAACCTTGACAACTTGAAGATAGGTGGACTTCAACTCCCAGAATTCCCC